GGTTCCTCCACGATCTCGTGCTCGTGGGTGCGTGCTGGAGGTACGCCTGCTCGTAGGTCGTCAAGCATTATATATTTGTTTTTCTCCAAGACCTCATTCACTACTGCAGGTAGCTCTGCGTTCAGCTTCTCCTCCGTTTCTGCTGCCATAACCAGTGCTAAGTAACCCGTGTTACTCTCGGTCACTGTCCGTTCGAACCGTGCCAGTGTCGTTTCAGGAACGTTCCCTGTATCCATCCAGCTTCGCAGTTCCACTAGTTTCTCGTTGTTGTAGATGTACGCCTTTTTGTTGACCCAGTCGATCTCGGAGTTGAACCGCTTCTGGAAATCTCGCCCCGAGATGAAATCTAAACCCTTGATGTTTGTGATCGGCAACGTCGGCTTCCACCTCAGCGCCCCTACGTGCTGCCGCAGTGATGCTTCGCAGTGGATGGGAAGTTTCGTACCATCCACCATCGTTGCCGTGAACTTGGTCTCCTCCAAAGATTCTCCAATTTTCTCCAACGTTCTGCGGTCGCACAACGAATGAGACGCACCGCTGACCACCAGTGCCTGGAGGCATCGCCCATTACAGATCACCTCGAGTAGAAGTGGTTGTTGCTGCTCCGAGTAACCGTAGATGGTCTCGCTTATAGGATCGTAGGGTACGTCGAATAGATCATCCCTCGGTCCTGCGCTCGAAGCTGCTGACTCCATATCGGTTTCCAACTGAGTAGGGTTGGAAGAATTTATCCGAGGCCAATTCAGCTCCATCTTGGCCTGGAACCTTCCCTTAAGCCTTTGCAGCTGTGTAGGCTTCACCTGTGGGCAATTGGGAGCCTTAACAATGTGCTGCGGGGAGAGAATAGTAACTCCTTGGAACGCACGACCCATTTCAACGCTCCGGAGTGGTTTTCCCAACTTCTCAGGTACCTGAATAATGTCTGAAGGCTTTTTCTTGGCCTCAAAATCTCCCCTGATTTTTTTTTATGGCTTGAAAACCTCGAGAGGAAATATTCTTACTCTCGGTGGTGTTCGTGTGAGGTTCTAGGATCGAGCTCAGAAAAGAGAATTGTAATTGAATGAATTGAATGATCACCTGGGTACAACACGAGGCTATATATAGGCTCGACACAAGGCCCCGTAACCAGGTGTTACGCGAATGGTTCCGCGGGCCGCGTAGCGTCCCGAACAGATCCTTACCGAATTCGGTAGAAGGCAATTCGGTGGCAACCGAAAAGCCAGAATCCGGTGCACGCAACCTAGCTCTGTGCTATAACTATAATAAAATATAGGAAAGCACCTAGCCTAGGAAATCAAGCAATTCATGCATGCATATAATTATCCTATGCTAGAAATAGCATGATAAAGTAAAGGCAAGCAAGCATAGCTGGCATAAGCCGTCGTACTCTCACACGTCCCCCCCTCAAAGCTGGGTGGCGTGAGATACACCCTACTTGACAAGATAGTCCTTGAGAGCATGGCGTGCATTGCTCATATCAGCTTCTGCAACCCAACTGTCCTCAGTGGGGTCGTATCCCTTCCAGCGTATCAGGAACTCGAGGGTCTTGCTGCCGCGGCGCCGATGAGAGAGAACGCGCTCAATCTCGTACTCGGGTTCATCCTGCACAAGATCAGGTGGAGGTGGCGGTAGCTGCCGTCCCTGGAACTGTTGGTTGGGGTCCTTGTAGGGTTTCAGTAGCTGCACATGGAAAGCATTGTGAAGCTTCCACGTATCTGGTAAGCGCAAGCGGAATGTAACTGGTGTCACCTATGCCTCAACGAGAAAAGGACCACAGAAGCGAGGCCGGAGATTGGATGGGAGGTGAGACAAGTTCAAGTTGCGCGTGTCAAGAAGCACCTGATCTCCAACTGCTACTGAGTGATCACGTCGCTGACGATCGGCATACTGCTTCTGGGAGGTCTGCATCGTGGTGAGTCGTCGCTGAGTCTTCTCCCATAGCTGCAGCTATGGTGATGACGAAGTCATGTGCGGCTTGGACGTGTGCCGGTAGTGGTTGGCTGCTGTGGTGTGAGTGGTTCCCGTCCGTAACACAGGAAGAAAGGAGTTTTCCCTGTGGCCGCATGTGATGCGTTGCTGTAAGCGAACTCTAGGGTCGGTAACTCTGTGTCCCAGTAGCTGACGTCGTCTTTGCAAGCTGTGCGTAGTAATTGTTCAACCACTTGATTGAGTCGCTCTGTCTGTCCGTCAGTCTGGGGGTGGTTTGCGGAAGACATTGCAAGCTTTGTCCCCAACAGTCCCATGAGCTCCTTCCAGAACTTGCTGGTGAATTTTGGGTCTCTGTCTGAGATGAGTGTAGCGGGGATGCCGTGGATGGTGATGATGCGGTCGAAGAAGAGGCGAGCAGTTGCTTCAGTTGTAGCTGTGGTGTTGGTCGGTATGAAGCGACCCATTTTGGAGAACTTATCGATGACTACGAGGATGGAATCGTGCCCCCGTGAGGTCGAAGGAAGTCCTGTGATAAAGTCGAGGCTAACGACCTGCCATGGCTACTCCGGTACGGGTAGAGGCTGAAGTAACCCTGCTTTTTTCTGCTTGCTACTCTTCTTCTGCTGGCACGTGTTGCAAGAGGTGACGAACTGCTGCACGTCTGCTGCCATCCCGGGCCAGTAGTAATACTTCGCTATCCCTGCTAACGTCTTGTTGCTCCCGAAATGTCCCGCATAAGGTACGTCGTAAAACTCCTCCAATAGGATCTGCCGTAGCGGGGCGTAATTCGGTACCCAAATCTTTCCTAAACCCTTCCTTACAGCTAAGTCCTTCTTCCAGTGTAACAGCCTCTTACTGAGGTAGGCGATGGGCTGCAAACTGCGTTCGTGATGCTGCATCATTACTACTCCGACTACTTGGTAACTACCGTCTGGCTTTGGAGTGAGGAGAACTGGTGCACCGTAGGGAGAGGTGGATGGGCGGATCAGTTGTCTGTCCAGTAGATACTCTATCTGTTTTTTCATGTCTCTCAGTTTAGTCGGACTCAGTCGGTATGGTGCACGTGAGACGGGTTTCGCACCTGGTTCCTCCACGATCTCGTGCTCGTGGGTGCGTGATGGAGGTACGCCTGCGGGTAGGTCGTCGGACATTATATCCTTGTACTGCTCTAAGACCTCCTCTGCTGCTGCCATAACCAGTGCTAAGTAACCCGTGTTACTCTTGTTCACTGTCCGTTCGAACCGTGCCAGTGTCGTTTCAGGAACGCTCCCTGTATCCGTCCAGCTTCGCAGCTCCATTCGTTTCCCGTTGTTGTAGATGCGCGTTTTCCGGTTGACCCAGTCGATCTCGGGGTTGAACCGCTTCAGAAAATCTCGCCCCAAGATGAAATCTAATCCCTTGATGTTCGTGATCGGCAACGTCGGCTTCGAACCTCAACGCCCCTATCTGCAGCTGCAGTGTTGACTTGCCACGGATGGGAAGCTTCGTACCGTCCACCATCGTTGCTGTAAACTGGGTTTCTTCTGAGGATTCTCCAATTTTCTCCAACGTCCCGCGGTCGCACACCGAGTGGGGCACCACTGTCCACCAGGGCCTGGAGGCAACGCCCGTTGCAGATCACCCCGAGTACTAGTGGTTGCTGCTGCTCCGAGGATTCTGTAGATGGTATCGCTTATAGGATCGTAGGGTACGTCGAATATGTTATCCCTAGGTCCTGCGCTCGAAGTTGCAGCTTCAGTATCAGTTTTCAACTGAGAAAGGTTAGAAGGATTTATCCGAGGCCGATTCGGCTTCTCTTGGGCCTGGAACCTTCCACTAAGCCTTTGCAGCTAGTGTAGGCTTCATCTGTGGGGAACAGGGAGCCTTTAAAAAGTGCTGCTGGGAAAGAATATTAACTCCTCGGAAAGCTCGACCCGTATTAGCGCTCTGGAGTAGGGTCCCCATAATAACCGGTACCGGTTTAATTTTTGACTCTTGTCAGGCATATATGCTATAGTCTGTGTAGGCTGTAGTGGGGCAGTTCATATGGGGTACAACACTTTAGGGTTTGCTACTTGTACTCCTCATTCTGCCTCAATGCATCCATTCCTCGTTTCTTATCATGGTATCGAGCAGGTTCCCTAGTGGGAACGCTAACTAGGGCCCACCACGATATATTTTTTTTTCCTGTCCGGAGCGCGCTTCACTCCTGCCCGAGTCGCGCTCTGTGTGCCCTCCCTACCTTCGCGCCGCCCTTAGTGGCCTCCCTTACGGCCCCTCGCGCCGCCCTCTACGGCCCCTAGCGCCGCCCTTACGGCCCCTTAAGGCCCCTCGCGCCGCCCTTATGGCCCTCGCGCGGCCCCTTTCGGCCCCTCGCGGCGCCCTTTCCGGCCCCTTACGGCCCCGTCGCCGCCCCGTTTAGGCCTCTTGCGGACCCTCTTCGGCCCCGTCTAGGCCCCTTGCGACCCCTCTACGGCCCCGTCTAGGCCCCTTGCGGCCCCTCTACGGCCTCGTCTAGGCCCCTTGCGGCCCCGTCGCCGCCACCCGCGGCCCCGTCGCTGTCACCTACGGCCCCGTCGCCGCCACCTGCGGCCCCGTCGCCGCCACCTGCGGCCCCGTCGCCGCCACCTGCGGCCTCGCCGCCACCTGCGGCCCCGTCGCCGCCACCTGCGGCCACGCAGCCGCCACCTGCGGCCCCGCCGCCACCTGCGGCCCCATCGCCGCCACCTGCGGCCCCGTCGCCGACACCTACGGCCCCGTCGTCGTCACCTGCGGCCCCGTCGCCCTCCCCTAGCGGCCCTGTCACCACTCAGCCGCCCAGCGACCGAGCCGCCGAGCTGCCGAACAGCCGAGCCGCCCAGCAGCCGAGCCGCCCAGCAGCCGAGCTGCCGAGCAGCCGAGCCGCCCAGCCGCCGAGCCGCCGAGCAGCCGAGCCGCCCAGCAGCCGAGCCGCCGAGCCGCCCAACAGCCGAGCCGCCCTCCCGCGGAGCCGCCGAGCCGCCCTACTGTCGAGCCGCTGCTGTTCCTACCGGTGCGCCCCGGCCCTCCTTCCTCGGTCTGGTGAGCTCACTCCCTACTAGGCCACTGCAGTCATGGCTACCCCCAGTGTCCTTACTTTTGATGCTGAGGGCCGTGCCGTTGACTTTGAGGTCTGGGTCGATGACCTCCAGCTGTTTCTACAGTGCGATAGGGCAGACGGACTCTCTTTGTTCGATCTCACCTCTTGTGCCTCTCCTGCCCCGCCTGCTACTGCTGACAGCACTGTTCGCTCACAGTGGGCCACACGCGATGCTGCTGCTCGCCTTGCTGTGTGTCGCCACTTATCAACCACTGAGCGTGCACACTTTAGCCAGTACAAGAGTGCTCAGACCTTGTACGACGCTGTAGTTGCATGCTACTCTTCCCCTGCCACTGCTGCACTGAGCCGCCTCATGCTACCGTACCTCTTCCCTGACCTTGCTTCCTTTCCCACAGTCGCTGACCTCATTACTGCACCTCCGCACTAGTGACACTCGCTACCGCGCTGCGCTTCCTCCTGAGTTCTGCGCCAAGAACCCCCCCCCCCCATGTATATCACCCTCTACTACATAGTCACCCGGCTCCCTGACTCTCTCCGCGTAGTCAGGGACCACTTCCTCTCAGTTTGCCCCACCACTCTCACCGTTGACCTCCTCGAGAAGGCCCTCCTAGCAGCATAGAAGAGCATAGGCGCTGTAGGAGCCTCTCGTGATAACCCTTGCACCCCCGTCTTTGAGGGGTGTTCCCCCTCCCCCCTCTTGCCCTCTGTTGCCTCTGCTGCTACGGCCGACCTCGTTGGTTTCGAGTCGTACGGCGCTGCGTCTGCCCCGTTCGGGAGGCGTCGCACCGACAAGGGCAAGGGGGGAAAGGGCGCTGGAGGGGCTGGCGGGGGCGGTGGAGGTGGTGGTGGAGGCAGTGGAGGGGGTGGGGGTAGTGGTGGGAGTGGTGGCGGGGGTGGAGGTGTCGGTGGCAGCACTGGAGGCGGAGGAGGCGGCGGCAGAGGCAGAGGGAGCAGAGGCGGCGGAGGTGGTGGAGGCGGCGGAGGCGGCGGAGGTGGCGGAGGCGGCGGCGGCAGCAGTGGACCCAGTCGCAGCTCTGCGCAGAGGAGTGGCTCCGGTGGTGGTACGCGCCAGCAGCAGCAGCGCAGTCGTGAGACCCTGTCCCCTCAGCAGCTTCGTGAGTGGTAACGCTGCGCGTCAACGCGGTGGGGGTACGGGTCCCTGCACCTACGTTCTCCGCACCGGCGACCGCGTTGGTGAGCAGTGCGGGGGCCCGCACCCCACACAGCGTTGCTTCGGCCGCCTGACGGACGCGTGGCGTCACCAGTTCCCTAATGCATCTGAGATCCCCCGCTGGGGAGAGCTGTCTAGGGCGGGGTTTGCTATATTTGCTGCGATGTATGCTGTTGCTGATAGTGTTGAGGTTGACTACTACCTGTGTGTTCCGCCTGACCCGGGCATTGAGCCTGCTGCTCTAGGTGCTGGTGAGGCTGCTGCTCTAGGTGCTAGTGCGTCTGCTGCCCCAGGTGCTGGTGAGTCTGCCCCTCTCAAGTACCACGCCGGCTCAGGCCTTACACACCTTCACCCTTGACTCGGGTGCTTCCCGCTCCTTCTTTCGAGACCGCACCACACTTACGCCGCTTAGTCGGCCGGTTGCGGTCTCCCTGGCGGACCCCTCTGGGGGTCCTGTCCTTGCTCGCTTCTCCACTGTCTTACCATGTCCGGCAGCCCCCTCTGGCACCCTTTCAGGTCTCTACCTCCCCTCGTTCTCTACGAACTTGGTGAGCAGGAGCTGATCTATAGGATAGGGGGGTTGACCAGTTCACTCCTGCGAGACAGTGGGTGACCCACTGCACGTGTGCTCGGACAGGCCGACACTTGGCCACGTTCACCCGTCGGCCGGGGTCGAGCCTGTACACCCTCATTACTGAGTCTCCTCCGGCTACTTGAGCCTGGTCAGGTCGCTGCATCGAGTCAGGTGTTTGCTGCAGCGTCCAGGTCTAGTCCTGAGTCTGCTCCCTGCTCGTGTCGTCTCCTGTCTCACCAGACTCTCCTTTGGCACCACCGCCTCAGTCACCCCTCTCTGCCTCGTCTCCGAGGCATGGCCTCCCGTGTCCTTGCTGAGCGCCGCATTGGTATGGTCATGGACGTCGCTCGTACGTCCATGATCCATGTGGCTGCCCCCCATTTTCTGTGGCCGTTTGCGGTTCAGTACGCGGCGCATCAGCTCAACCTTCAGCCTCGGGTCTCCTTGCCAGAGGCCTCCCCCACCTTGCGGTGGACGGGGAAGGTTGGCGATGCGTATGCGTTTCGGGTCTGGGGATCTCGGGCGTTTGTCCGCGACTTGTCTGCGGACAAGCTGTCTCCCCGTGCTGTTCCCTGCGTCTTCCTTGGCTTCCCCCCTGACGCGCCTGGTTGGCAGTTTTACCACCCCACCTCACGCCGTGTTCTGTCCTCCCAGGACGTCATCTTTGACGAGTCAGGTGCCCTACTACCGTCTCTTCCCCTACCGCGCTGCGCCCATTCCCCCGCCGCCGCTATTCCTTGTGCCAGGTCCTCCTCCGATAGACCCCCTCCCCCCGCAGGGGTTCCTGCCCCGTCAGGTGTGTCCTAGGTAGACGCAGTCAAGCCTGTCGAGGTAGCTGTTGACTCTGGTGCTGCTAGAGGTGTTGAGCCTGCGGATGCCGGGTCCGGAGGTGCTGAGCCTGCGGGTGCTGAGTCTGGGGGTGCTGAGACTGGGGGTGCTGAGCCTGGGGGTGCTGAGTCTGGGGGTGCTTAGCCTGGGGGTGATGAGTCGGGGGGTGCGGAGCCTGGGAGTGCGGAGCCTGGGGGCGCTGGGTCTACTCGTGTGGCCGCCGGAGGTGCTTCGTCGAGGCGGGAGCCACTCTCTCCGCAGGAGCTACGCAAGTGGTTTGCCCAGCCCTGAAGCCTGTGCTGCTGGTTCCGGAGGTGCTCGTGCTGGCGGTACTCGAGCTGCTGGGACTGGGGGTGCTGCTGGAGCTGCAGGAGTTGGTCCTGCTGGAGCTGCAGGAGTTGGTCCTGCTGGAGCTGCTGGCGGTGCTGGAGCTGCCGGTCCTGCTGGAGTTGGAGCTGCTAGAGCTTGAGCTGGAGCTGGAGCTGCTGGGGGTGTTGGCGCTGGTGGTTCTGTTGGCGCTGGTGCGTCTGAGGGTGCTGGAGTTGGCGCTGTTAGAGCTGGAGGTGCTGCTGGCGCTGGTGCTGCCCCTGGAGGTACTGGTGCTGTCCCTGCTGGTTCAGGAGGCGCTGCGCGGCCGCGGCCGTACTTCGTTCCGCTCCTTGAGCAGGTTCTTTGTGTCCCGCCTTCTACTGGTCCTTCTCCTCCCTTAGAGTGTCCACAGCCTGTCCAGTCGCAGTCACAGTTACAGCCTGCCTCCCCTCTACCTGCTCCTTCTCCCTACACTGGTCCTACTGGAGGTCTTACTGAGCGTCGTGAGCCTGCGTCTCGTCCTGCGTCGCCTGTTTGCAGTGCTCACACTAGTAGTCGTGTTCCGCGTCCGCGTCCTCCTCCGGCACCCACCAGATTGCACTGCGTCCTACCACTGCTCCCCTTCGTGTCCCGTTGCCATCTCCTCCAGAGTCCTCTCTTCCTGTCCTTCCTGACCCTGAGTCTGACTCTCTTCGTGCTGCGAGTCCTACTGTCACGCGTCTCCTGGCCATTGTTGTCACTGACCCTTCCTTTGAGTCCACTGCTGCGTCTGCCTTAGTGGCTGAGCTTGTCGACTTCGCTGCTCGCTATCGTCTAGACTACGCCACTAGTCTGTCTGTCCTCCGTCCGTCGGGGGTGGGTGTGCTCTTAGCACGGACGTCCTTGAGGACAGGCAGGAGGAGTTCCAGTGTTTTGCTGCTGCTTTGCCTCATCTCGTGTCCACGCTGACTGCACCTGAGGGAGACCCGGATGCACCAGACATCCCGACTCCTCGATCGTACGCTGAGGCGATCGAGGTTCCCTACTCCTCTCAGTGGCAGTCAGCCATGGACGCAGAGATGGCTTCCTGGAAGTCCACAGGCACCTACGTCGACGAGGTTCCCCCACCTGGGGCGAACATCGTCAGTGGCATGTGGATTTTCAGGGTGAAGCGGCCGCCGGGTTCTCCGCCTGTCTTCAAGGCGCGTTACGTGGCTCGAGGCTTCAGTCAGCGGCAGGGAGTTGACTAATTTCAGACCTTCTCTCCCACCCCAAAGATGACCACTCTTCGGGTGCTGCTGCACATAGCCGCTCAGCGAGACTACGAGCTTCACTCTCTTGACTTCAGCACTGCTTTCCTGTAGGGCAGCCTGCACGAGGAGATCTGGCTGCGCCGCCCACCTGGCTTCACTGGGTCGTTTCCTTCTGGTACCCAGTGGAGCCTCCGGCGGCCAGTCTACGGTCTCCGCCAGACGCCCCGTGAGTGGCACGACACACTAAGGACTACACTTGCGGCTCTTGGGTTTGCTCCTTCTACAGCCGACCCGTCGCTGTTTCTGCGCACCGACACCTCTTTGCCGCCGTTCTACATCCTTGTGTACATCGACGACTTGGTCTTTGCCACTGCTGACACTGCTGGACTCGCCCACGTGAAGTCCGAGCTGCAGAAGAGACAGACGTGCACAGACTTGGGTGAACTGCGCAGCTACCTTGGCTTGCAGATCACCCGGGACAGAGCACAGCGCACCATTACCCTGACTCAGTCGCACATGGTGCAGCAGGTCCTTCAGCGCTTCGGCTTCACGTACTCCTTGCCTCAGGCCACTCCTCTGTCTACTCGCCACTCGCTCTCAGCTCTACCTTCGGATGAGTCCGTAGAGTCGAGTGGCCCGTACCCAGAGCTTGTTGGCTGCCTCATGTACCTGATGACCTGCACACGACCTGACCTTGCATACCCTCTTAGCATCTTGGCACGCTCATTTGCTCCTGGGAGACACCGACCAGAGCACATGGCTGCAGCGAAGAGGGTGTTGCGCTACGTGTGCAGTACGTCGGGCATGGGGCTAGTGCTTGGAGGGCGACGTCGAGTGGTCCTCACAAGTGACGCAGACGCTTCTTGGGCTGACGACCAGCCGACACAGCGGTCTTCATAGGGTTACACCTTCAGCCTTGGCTCCGGCTCTGTTTCGTGGCGGTCCACCCGCTCGTCTTCTGTTCTCACTTCCAGCTGTGAGGCTAAGATCTACGCGGGGGCCATGGCTGCACAGGAGCTACTGCTGGCTCACCTACCTGCTGACTGACCTAGGAGAGCCGCCTCGTTCTCCTCCAGTTCTGTACGTAGACAACAAGGCCATGCTGGCCTTGTGTCAGGAGCACAGACTGGAGCACAGAACGAAGCACATTGCTGTTCGCTACTTCCTGGCTCGTGAGCTGCAGCAGCGTGGTCAGCTGCGCCTTGCTTACTGTCAGATTTATATGACTTAGCTGCTGTAAGCTATAGTGGGGTAGCACATATGGGGTACAGCTTTCTAGGGTTTGTACTTCTACTGAACTTTCCCTTAGTCTTTTCATTCTCGTTCAATTTCACATGGTATAGAGCAGGTTCCCCTGTGGGAACTGTTCCTAGGGCCCACCGATTTTTTTTTCCTGCCCGGAGCGCGCTCAGCCTCTGCCCGAGTCGCGCTCCCCTCTTACGACCCCGTCACGCCGCCCTTACGACCCGGTCGCGCCGCCTTAGCGGCCTCGTCGCGTCACGTCTCCCTAGCGGCCCCGTCGAGTCGCCCTTGCGACCCCGTCGCGCCGCCCTCGCGGCCCCATCATGTCTCGCCGCCCTCGCGGCCTTGTCGCGCCGCCCACGCGGCCCCGTTCCGCCGCCCTCGCGGCCTCGTCGGGTCGCGCCGCCCTTGCGGCCCTTTTGCGCCGCCCTCGCGGCCTCTTCGAGCCGCCCTAGCGACCCCTCCACGCCGCCCTCGCGGCCCCGTCGCCTACCCTTGCGGCCACGGAGCCGCTCTTCCGGCCCCGGCGCCGCCTCTGCTGGCCCCGTCGCCCCACCCTTGCGACCTCGCGGCCCCACGCTCAAGGCGCCGGACGCCACCCTTCGTGGCCCCGCCGCCGCCCTTAGCGGCCTCGTCGCCGCCCCACCCGGCCCCGCCGCCGTCCCTTCAGCGGCCCTGCCACCCTACGCGGCCCCGCCGCCGTCCCTTCAGCGGCCCTGCCACCCTACGCGGCCCCGCCGTCTCCACCGAGCCGTCGGCGCCGCTGAGCTGCCGTTGCCGCTGTGCTGCCGAGCCGCCGCTGCTGCCGAGCCGCCTGAGCCACCCAAGCCGCCCGAGCCGCCGAGCCGCCGCTGCAGCCGAGCCACCCGAGCCGCCCGAGCCGCCGAGCCGCCGAGCTGCAGTTGCTGCCGAGCCGCCGAACCACCGAGCTGGCCGAACCGCCCTGTCCGGCAAGAGCGGCACCTCTACCACTGCGCTGCCCTTAGCCTACTGCTCGCGCTGCTAGTCTACTGCTGTCATGGCTACCCCCAGCGTCCTCGCTGTCATGTCAAGACGCTGAGGGTCGGGCCATTGACTTTGACGTCTGGGTAGATGACCTGCAGCTTTTCCTACAATGCGATAGGGCAGACGGTCTCTCCCTCTTTGACCTCACTTCTGGTGCCTCTCCTGCCCCTGCTGCTGATGCTGACGCCACTGTTCGCTCACTGTGGGCCACACGCGATACTGCTGCACGTCTTGCTGTGCGTCGCCACTTGCCTACCTCTGAGCGTGCACACTTTAGCCAGTACAAGAGTGCTAGGACCTTGTACGACGCTGTAGTTGCACACTACTCTTCCCCTGCCACTGCTGCACTTAGCCGCCTCATCCTGCCGTACCT